GCTTGTTTTAGGCTGCTCTTAATTTCAGCTGCTATCAGTTTTGTATCGTATATAGTGGGGAAGAGCTGGTGCATATCTGTTTTGAAAGTATGATAGGATCTTGGCAGATGTTTGTAAAACTGAAAGCAGGAAGACGTACACAAAGGGTGATTTAAAGTACATACTGAGATGAAACAAGAGAAAATCCATGCTGGACTCCTTTAGTAGAGATCGAGCAGCTATATCTCATATAATCCTAATATCACAGGTAACAAGAGAACAATACACATACTTGCTTATAAAGTAGCATCAGGTCAAGAAGACAATTATGAAGAACAATGGGCTTCTGAGTATCTACCAGGTACCGGAAAATCTTTGTAAATCCAAGCATTCTGTCTACAAAATATTCCATCAACTTCTTTCCACCTGGATCTTGCATTTCCAGCTTTTGCCGACTATCCTCTGTCACTTTCTGAATTAGTACCTGTTTATGTCATTGGACAAATTAGAGCTTGGCATGAAAATTTGTGCATAATGATAAAAATCAAGCTGGAGCCTTAGTAAAAACAATGTTCTGGTTTCTTTTCCAGTCTCTCACCTGTTACTAAATTAAATTTGCAAATCATGATGATTTAAATTAATGTAGATAACTATAAGAGTTATTGCTCAGAAAATAAATTATAAAAATATGTTTATCAGTTAACCTAAAAAAAGGGAAATTATGATATTCATAATAAAGAAAATCTTTAAAACATTCATACCCATTCTGCTAATAAAATTAATACTACACATCAAATTTTTACCTCTCCATTTTGCATTGAAGCCCACAAATCAGAAAATCTGTGACGCACACTGACAACCAGCATGAACTGAAACGTAGCCTCTGATAGATTTGTTACAGTAGTAGTATCACCTTCATTTGCTGATACTGCCCACACTCCAAGGTCATTTACCTGATCTCGTACCTGTTAACAATTACAAAGTCTTGTAATTACTTCCTAATATTATTTCATGGAATATCCCATGGGTCATCATCATCATGTATAACTACATGAGGACTGAATATAGAAAGCAAAACACATTGCATCTAATGAAAAACTGTACCTACTGTATATGGAAGGTCAACTATCTTTTGACCTTTGATAACAGATGACAATGTTGTACATAGCTCATTTTCTTCATCAGTATTCATTGAAGTGATGCCTCCATACAACCACTGATGATGGAAATAAATGCAGTTAATAATGGACAAATAAAAGCAATATCACATGACAGACTACTTTTTCATGTTACACTGTAGATGTCTCCTCTTCCTCCTCCTCCTTCTTCTTCCTCTTGTTCTTGCTCATCCTTATCCTCTTCCTCGTCCGTCTCCTGCTCATTTGCCTCAAACCAATCCTGTAGTGTTCAATGTTTGCTGGACCTGTCATATTTCTTTAGATGTTGTATGATAGCGAATCAGAAATCCAGGAAAGTCAAGAAATCACATCCTATCAACAGAGCTGAAGATGAGGTAACTGACAAGTGCAAGCACATACCTCAAATCTACAGAGAATATTTGGCAGCTAATTGCTGATGAAAGTCCCACTGATGTTGTTAAGGGTCAGAAAATTGCAAGAGAGTTCACCTCAGTCTATACTGATGCATATCAACATTCCAGTAATTGAACTAAGGAGCAAATACAAAAAGGAGGTATTTGATACTTGATGTAGGAGGAAGAACACACACACACACACACACACACACACACACACACACACACACACACACACACACACACACACACACACACACACACACACACACACACACACACACACACACACACACACACACAAGCACACACACACACACACACACACACACACACACAACCACACACACACACACACACACACACACACACACACACACACACACACACACACACACACACACACACACACACACACACACACACACCACACACACACACAACACACACACACACACACACACACACACAAGCACACACACACACAAGCCCACACTAGATATAGATTGCAATTCTTCTTGAGCTGCAACAGTTCATTCTACTATATATTCAATGGAATATAATTATATGAGAGGACAAAGTGAGTCAGAGACACAGTAGTCTATTGTCATTGAGTTGATGGAGAGTCTTGAGAATATGACTGCACTTTCTTACCACTGGTTCACTTTGAGGAAATTGTGTTGCTTTTTCAATTTGGCACTGTACTTCAGTGATTGGAGGAGAAGGCAGAGGAACTGCATGATTATGTCTTTGATATAATGATAAATCAATAATAATTCTAGAGGAAAATAAATGAATGGCTAACATCCACATTCCTTGATATCATGGACATGGCTGAGATGGCTAGATTGTTCAGTGCACTGTAGAGAAGATGAAGAACTGGTCTACAATGTTAGGATGAAACTTTCTCCTGCAACTAGCAAAGGAGCTGGTTCTCCTTTGGACCATGTATAGGATGACTCTTCCAATCCTCAAGAAAACCATCAGGATTTTAATTGGCCATAACCTTGATCTAAAAGATAGATAGACCTGCAAGGCAACCCTGAGGAAGTTAAGAATGGAAAGGACTGTTACACCTTCTGCAGCAAGTCAGGGGACCACACAACCATCAACAAGTGCATGTCCTGCGGCACTGCTCTAGGTCTTAAACACTCAGTGCAACAGTGTCAGCTGCTTTGAGTAAAAGTTACTTTTTGGCTTATTTCTTGGACCTTTCATTCTTGATTTAATGATTAATATAATGTTGAAGTATCACAAGGATATAAAAATATGTATCATGCTTGGACACTGTCAATATTGTTGAATCAATAACAAATATTTCTTAGGGGGACTTGAATGGGGCATCATCCTTCTTTGTAGTTTTAGCCAACTGTAGTGCTATGGTTTTGTGAATGTATGCAAATAAAGTCACATCAATTATTTGAATGAATATAAAGGAAAACTTTTATGGAATACCTTATAGCATATACAATGAAAAACTCGTGAAAGTCCATATAACGAAAGTGAGAAAAATATATATGTTTTAGTTTTATATATTTATGCACACAGCTGACTAATCTACTTGATAAATATATATGTACAATTTTCCAACTATTCCAAAAAAAACTGCATTCGGATGCATAATATAGATGTATCAAAACAAACCTTGTTGAAGTCAAATTTGAATCTCTGTAAAAATTCTAAGCTTGATGTCTGGCACATGAAAGTTGGATCAAAGGATGTGCAAGAGTGGGGACGGAGGTAAAAGTTGTATGAGGTCACAGTATACCCGTTTGTGTGAGGAATTCCCTGAAAAAGAAAAGAAAAATGAATCTTCTTAACATTCACAAAGAACTGACATGTGTATTTTAATTGTATATAAAATCACTGATATACAATAGCCTATAACTTTTGGTATAATGCTGTTTTTTTCTATCTAAAAATTATTTTCTAGCATGAAGTGTCATAACAAGTAAGTCAATAAAATGTAGTATCAGATAATGTTTTCAAACATGAATGTACTAAAAACTTGGTATAACCATAACCATTAGGAAATATACACATAACTGTAACTCATACTAAATATATTGCCAGAAAGAAACACTCCTATACCTTGAAGACAGCCATTCCCATCTGGCAGATCATGAATTTACGAATATTACAGGAAAGTTTCTGGTACCTTTGCAATCCATCATCGAATAGGCTTGGGAAAAAACAAACAAACATTATACACTGTCATGTCAGCACTAACAATGAAAAAGGATCCAACCTTTGGCTATTGAAAACCATATTAATTAAATTGAGGAAACTATTTTCTTCAACACAGACTCCCTGTTTAACATACTTAGCCAAAAAAGTCTCCCAACTGCTGGAAACATTTCTCAAAATCCTCTTTCATCATCATGATTTGCCTTGTATTTCCCCTGATCTGCAAAAATGCTTCAGAGAGTGTTTTTCTACACTTTTTGGACACAATATATTGCAAGAGACCAGAACTCATGACAACACCTATCCAGATTAAAATGAATGTGACAAGGCAATTTGAGATGATCTCAAAAATGGACTTTGAGGATTTTTTCTAGTACTGGGATGACTACTAAATAGAAAGTCTGGGGTCTTCTTTGAAGGGGAGAAAAGTTTCTTCCATCTAACAAAATTGGTTTTCATTTCATAACCAATATTTTAATACTTTTCAATCAGATCAGGTATATCAATCAAGTTCCTATCATTACTACCTCTCAGTAACAGCTACTCATAGTAATATATCAATAAAGCTAACATTAAAGCTGCAGCTAATGATGATGATAAATGATAATAAATAATGATGGTGATTATGAACACAAATGAAAGGGATGATTTATACTAAAGCTATTCTTAAAAGTAATAGTAGTACAGAAGATTAATAATCTTTAGTCTATATCTATTGTGTGCATATTTGAACTCCTTACCTTCCCTTAAAAGCAGCATCAGCCAAAAGTCCTGTGAACTCAGTGTCAAGTGAGATGAAAGCTGCTGTCTTTATGTCTTCTAATATTTGCGGAAGAAGCTGAGGAAAATTATCTACTGTAACATCCACCATCTTGGAGATTTTTTTTACTGGAGAATCTTCTGGAAATAAATAAATACATTGATACTTTAATAATGCCAGTATATAGAAAGAATGAAGGATGATAAAGAGAGAGAAAGAAAGAAAGAAATCATGATGGATGATGGATGATAATGATGAAGACAATGATGGTTGATGATAATAAAAATGATTAAGAATTATGAAAATGTACATTCAAAAAATTCAATGGTCCTATACATAGTCCTGCAGGTCCTATACATGCTCAGTGGAACTATGGAAACTGCCAGCACAAACTGGTTTACACAAGGCCAGGTCGTTGTCCATACCTACTCAGTTCGACTGTGCTATTTTGCTCAGTTCTATCATTTTGTAGTTCTGCAAAAATGCTGCCAATAGGTGAGGTCTTAGTATTGCAGTATGTATCATGACCCTTGCAGCAGCCTATCCTATCAGTTCCCTGTTTCAATCTTTATTTTACCTTTGAAATCAACAAAACACAAAATTTAGTGAACTTTTTTAGATTGCTTGCTAATGCTGCGTTTGGAACTCCTCGTCCTGCTCATCCAGACAAGTTGGACAAGATGTCTTAACTGTTCGGTACCTCTACTTTCTTGTCCTGGACAAGTTGACCATCTCAACCATTTCGCCCTCCTGCGAAGCTGGGCGAGCAGGATGAGATGACATCACAATAGTGTTTATAGGTATACATTGACAGTTGCAGGCAACCACAAGATACTGATGGATAATTTTATGGCCATTTATTGATGTTATCAAAGGATATTTTTGTTTGTCAGTTGTAGGTAAGTTAAATATGCATCAAAAGAGTTACAAAACCTATGCAGCATGTAAAATAGAGAGAATGTTTACTTTCAGTGAGAGTCTTGAAGGTTTAGAATGTGGCCTCATTACCCAGCTGGTCCTGACAAGTTGTCTGGACAAGCAAGATGAGGAGTTCTGAATGCAGCATAAGAAACAAAAGGATTTGTTCTCCCTTCCCCCCATTTCTCTCAAACAATCAATCTGTCAATCTTGTATGGGGCTCTTTAATTAGACTAATCTACGGGATAGATTAAGCTGGTATATGTTACTTGGTTTGGGTTGAGTTTAATATTATTATAAAATAATATAAAACAATAGAGTGAGTGATTGAGAGTCCGAAGTGATTTACCCATTACTTTAAAACACATGTATGTGAAAGAAAAGATACATTTTGCATTACCATACATTCTTAAAAATGCCGGGGACACAAAACCAATAAACTGGTCATTAAATAACATAGCAATTCCTTACATTTTGAACTAAACATATTTGGTTATGAACTACAGTTCCTGCCTCTTCCTTTCTTACTTAATCCAGATAAAATCACTCATAGTGAGATACTGGACCTGCAAAGACATGTAATACTAATTCCTTAGCCTTACATTAGATAAATGTTCTCAGTGTTAAAATTTGTTTGCACGTTTCACTTCAATCTGAAATGCTTCACTGTTACCATGGTAACCTCCGAAATCAGCTGATTGGCGATTGTGTAAATATTTGTAGAATTATACAGTTAGCATACTATTTTACATTTTAATCAATGAATGATGTTCACCGAAATTACACATAATATAAAATATATCACTATTAATTAAGAACGATGCACAAAAAAAAAGAAAGAAAACATTTATATTCGCGGTAGTTTACAGTGATATTTCTCTATTTCACTCACAAACACATGCACGATGGACGAAAAATATGAATATTTTGACTTTTATAAGATTATCTCTTATCGTCTTCAAGAAAGTTAAAGTAATAGAATAAATTGGTGAAAAAAGATACTACTCATTTAGTTTTCGTTTGTACCAAAGAATTATGTTCTTTTTCACCGCATTCACGCGTGCTTATTTTTCTGCCATATAACGAAAACTATAAAGTGATTTTCCCATAAAGTGGTATAAATTATTTTCCTCATAAAATGGTATAAACTATATTCACTTAACTGTTTTGGTAACACTGTAACGGGTTATATTTTTACTAGTGGGATTAGTTAATTGTCACTTCTTGTCATAAGGACATAACAAGTATAATAAATATAACCACCACATTAATTAGATTCATAGACAGTGCACTTTTGATGCAAACGAGTACGTAAATGTTAGAAAGGACTAACGTGTTTATGAAAACAACAAAACCGCGTCTGGTAACACTGTGCAGGAAACATCTGTGAGGCACGTGTGTCGACGAAGTAACCTTGCTGTGTTGCTGTTTTTCGCGTCTGTATTCCGTTTATCTCGTTCACTGCTCCCGGTTTTGTTAATTTGGCTGTCAGTAGCAGTCAGTTAGGTTTTTCCTGTGGGATCGATGTGTTGTTTTAACTCTTGATAAGAAGGAAGGAGCTACTAGTGTGGGTAATTTACTGAATGAATACACCCACACTCTATGGGAAATAAGGTCTGTCACTAAAAGAAAGCAGGTAAGTTGCTATTCCACTCTGTCAGTTGAGTTTCAGGGGGAGAAAAATAATAGCTTTCAAGATTAATTATGGTGTTCTGAGAAATGATGCCTGATAATGATATTGAAAAATCTGTTTTCACCATGTAATAGAACATACCTAAGAATTTTTAGTAATTGTTTGGGAAGTAACTACACCCTTCTGATAGTTTCCATGCTATTTTAGCCAACCATAGTGTGGGCTTCCCTGAAACACTCAAACATTACTGCTTGAACCAAAATTCTTCCTAACCTGAGGTTTTGCCCCAGGATCCCCGCAGGATTTGAAAGGCATGCACGCGTTATATTTTCGTAATTTAGCGGTGACTGTAAGGCCTCTGCATCTTATACCATATCCTATCCGACTCTATTTCTTCCACTCTATAAAATGGTGGTGTCCATTTTGCTCTATTTACGTGTGTCGGTCTCTTCCATCTCTACCAAATATATTACAAATTTTCTTTTTGTTGCAAACTGATAATAACAGCAGTAGAGAGGTTGTAAAACACATAAATTGTTGGAGCTCTGGGATTGTGCTTTTCCCATAAATACAAAAATGATTCATCTTAGGCAGATAACATGTTTAAGGGAAGTCCCAGAAGCCATTTAGAATTGTGAATGATGAAAAGAGGCAAATTTTGTTGTTAATGAGATATATATGTATTTGGGAGTAAACTCTTTGTGCTTTTCAGAGGACGACTTGCTTGAAGCATGGTTAGATTTGCTCGTGCGGAGGGCTCCAAGGGCTCCAACAAGCGGGTTCCAGAAGAGCCCACGCCCTGGCATGAGTTGGCACCGATAAAAGTACCAGAAAGTAATCCAGACATTGGAAAAACCTCAAAGAATTTCGAAGAGGATAAGAGTAAAGAAAGTGGCAATAATGGAATTGCAAAGAAAGGTGTGACAAAGAAAAAAAAGAGATTGTTGGAGGAAAGTGGTTCAGACACTGTGCAGATCAAGAAGAAAAAAAGCATTAGTAAAGATGACACTGTTGATAAGGAAAATGAGGAAATCAATTCAGACCAGGCAACAGGGAAAGGGAATTCAGTCAAAGTAACAAAAATAAAAAAGAATATAAAGAAAAATGCTGAAAAGAATATGAAGAAGGGTGAAGTGAAAGGGAAGAAAAAGAGAAAGTTAGACAAAACAAGTGAAGAAGAGAACACTGATGGTGTCCAGATCAAGAAAAAGAAAAACATTGCTAATGAATCTGGAAATGAAGAGAAAGTGGTCATTGATAAATTAGAAAAAGATGATGACTGTAGTGAGAAAAGTTCAAATGTTAAACAAAAGAAAAAAAAGAAGGCACAAAAAATGGATAATGGGAAAGGAGAAGAGAAGAAAGAGTATGTAATCAATGATAAAAGTCAAAGGGTTAAGGTATTCAAGGATGGGACAGAAAGAACATGGTTTGACCTCCCCTATGAAGAAGGTCAGCGCATGACAAGGTATGACAACATGTGGGTTAAGAAGGAGGTGGTAGAGAAACTGGAACAACTAAAGGGGACCCTCAAAGACGAAGGTCATTCGGAGAAGGAGGTGAGTAGAATAGGGCTTATCTGTTGTATTGTTACTATTGTTTTATAGAGTCAAGTATATACTGCATGCATTTATCTGTTGGTGTTAATCATATTGCAAATATTCTGATGTCATTAAATGTTGTGTAAACCAAAATAGATATTGGTATGAAAAGCCTCTTGTGTTTCCATCTTTTTTGCATGTGTGTAATAAAAGTATATTTCACATTTTTAGGTAATGAGAAGGATGATGAAAGCAAAACGAAAAGCTCATAGAGAGTTGAGGATTGAGCTTATATATGAACAAAAGGCAGCAGTTGAAGATCAGTTACCTGAAAGCAAAAGTAAAGTGGTAAAAAAGAAGAGTAAGATAGTTGATGAAGGGGAAAATTGTATTAAAAAATATTCAGATAATGACGGTGATAATTATGAACATAATTCTGAAGTAAGTAATGCTGACAATAAAGTGTCCTGTTTTAGATGCCACCAGCCAGGTCATAGAATAGCAGATTGCCCACAGACAGGTACAGAAAATGTTACCTTGGGAAATGAGAGTCAGATCACCTGTTTCAGATGCCATCAACCAGGACACAGAATTGCAGACTGTCCAACAGTGGCAGGAGCAGAAAATACCAAACAAGAAAATGATGGTCAGATCACCTGCTTTAACTGCAATGAGCCAGGACACAGAAAAATTGACTGCCCAAAAATGACAGGCAGAGAAAGTAATAGAACAGGAAGTGAAAATCAGATCACCTGTTTCAAATGCCATCAGCCAGGACACAGAATTGCAGACTGTCCAACAGTGGCAGGAGTAGAAAATATGAAAGAAGGAAATGATGGCCAGATCACCTGCTTTAACTGCAATGAGCCAGGACACAGAAAAATTGACTGCCCAAAAATGACAGGCAGAGATAATAATCGAACAGGAAGCGATAATCAGATCACCTGTTTCGGTTGCCATCAACCAGGGCATAGGAGGGCAGATTGCCCAGGAGGAATGGGAAGAAGTGATTATGGTTCAGCATGGAATGAAAATAAGCTCACCTGTTTCAAGTGCAATCAACCGGGGCATAAGATGTCCGACTGCCCAGCATCAGGTGGAGAATATGGCAGGACAGGCCAAGGGAACCAGATTACATGTTTCAATTGCCATCAGCCAGGCCACAGGAGAGCAGATTGCCCAGGAGGAATGGGAGGAAATGATTATGGCTCTCATCCAGGGAATGGAGGAATGGGAAACGAGCGCACCTGTTTTAGATGCCACCAGCCAGGACATAGGATATCAGACTGCCCAGAATCAGGTGGAGATAACCAGATTACTTGTTTCAACTGCCATCAGCCAGGGCATAGGAGAGCAGATTGCCCAGGAGGAATGGGAAGAAATGATTATGGTGCAGCATGGAATGGAAATCAGCCCACTTGTTTCAAATGCCATCAGCCAGGGCATAGGATATCAGACTGCCCAGAAGGAGGTAGAGATAACCAAATTACCTGTTTCAAATGCCATCAGCCAGGGCATAGGATATCAGACTGCCCAGGAGGAGGTAGAGATAACCAGATGACTTGTTTCAAATGCCATCAGCCAGGGCATAGAATATCAGACTGCCCGGAAGGAGGTAGAGATAACCAAATGACTTGTTTCAAATGCCATCAGCCAGGGCATAGGATATCAGACTGCCCAGAAGGAGGTAGAGATAACCAAATGACTTGTTTCAAATGCCATCAGCCAGGGCATAGGATATCAGACTGCCCAGAAGAAGGTAGGGATAACCAAATTACCTGTTTTAATTGCCATCAGCCAGGACACAGGAAGTCAGATTGTCCAGCAGGTATGGAAAATGGTGATAGCAAAGCAAGAAATGAAAAGCAGCTCACATGTTTCAATTGTCATCAACCAGGGCACAGGAAAACTGAATGCCCAAAGATGACTGATGATGATTTTCAAAAAAGGAATGACAACCAAGTTGTTTTTGAAGAAAATGATATAATGACTCAGTATGAAGGTGTCTGGGTGTTGAAAAGTGCAGTGGAATATTTAGATAGTAGGAGAGAACAGCTTGTGAAGGAGGCTATCTCTGCAAGGGAGGATGGAAATGATTCTACTGAGCTAACAAAAGAAGAGCAGATTACAGTTCAGAGGACTATGAAAAAAGAGAAGAGGCGTGAGTTAAAAGTCCTTCAGAAGCATCTGAGAGGTATTAAAGTAGATGCTACTCAAGCAAGAAACAGAAATGAAGTAACAAATGCAGCAAGCAAAACTAATATCCCCAACAGAAGCAGCAGTAATAATAATGAGGAGGACTTTGAAGTTGTTAAATTTGATGGATATTTAGTCAAGAAGGAATCTGCTGAGAGACTTAATGGATTAAAAGGTAACTAGTAATAGTAAGGTATTGATAGAATAATTTGAAGATGAACATTTTCTTAGCACAGATTTTTTTTTTTCAGTGGATTTATAAATTCTTGAATTTATTTTATGATAAAGGAAACATAAAAATATCTGATTTCCAGCTCGGCTTACAAAGGAGGGCATATCTGGAGAGCAGCTGCAAAGTATCTTGCAGAGAGAACGTCGTAAAGAAGAGAGGTTGCTCAAGAATGCATCAAAGTCCGTTTGTCTTAAATGCCGCCAGCCTGGGCACATGGTATCAACATGCCCATTGTTAAATGATGGATCAGGATCTAGTGGTCCAATAGATATATGTTATACAGTAAGTAGGACTGTTCATGGTACAGGTAAATGAATTTTCTTTGAATGTATTTTGTAAGTAAGTACATGAGTAGTAAATAATAAGCAGAGAGGGTATGTTGTGTAAGACTGATTTTGATACTGATGTAAATAGATATAACAAATATATTTATGTTCTGAATTTTTGTTTTTTTATTAGTGTGGTTCAACTGAACACAGACACAAGGAGTGTCCACAAAAGGATAAAGGTGGTGCATTTTCCCATGCAACATGCTTTGTATGTGGGGAGACAGGTCACCTTGCCAAGGAGTGTTCAGAAAACCCACGCGGTCTGTACCCAGATGGAGGAGCTTGCCGAATGTGTGGATCAGTGGAACATTTACGCAAGGATTGTCCAGATCTGCAGGTAAGCTTTGCTAATACTCGTTTTTTAATACTATAGGGAGCAATAATTTAAAAATTAGTGTGTAGATATGGAAGTAGAGAAAATATTTTTTTGAAAATTATTGTTTTAGTGACATTTTGTAATCTTTAAGAAGGATTTTTTTTTCTTTTTTTTTTTTTTAGCTCTTGCTCAGATCTTGAATTAAGATAGATGAAGGACTTTCATACTTGCAAAGTAACATGTTACTTCTCACTTATGTGTAAACAGTAATTTCCAGAGGTCTATATAACCTACTTTTTCTAGCAAACTGTTTATTCCAAGACAACTACTGATATAACAAATGCTCTATCCCGCCAGGAGGAGAACCAGAAATCAACAATAACAGTTGGCCGGATGGATGGCAGTGACCTAGAAGCTTTGGACAGCCTTGGAAATGTGAACTCGACAGAGAAAGCTGGAACTGCACCTGCCAAAGGAGAAGTGAAGGTTGTCAGATTCTGAAGAGAATGCAGTTTAAGCTGAGGAATTGCCTTATGTTATAGATAGAATTTTGGGAGGGTCAATGGTCTGCATTTGAATTTGAAATGAATGGGCAGAGATTCATGGGACTTTGAAGACCTTTTAGAAAGTACAGTTTGTCTCTTCATTGTTTCATAATACAGTCCATATCATAATTTACTGTTATCCTCAGTAAAATGTTGTCTGTTATTATTTGAAGGAAACTGGTTTTCCAAAACAAGTACAAGTACTCCATGAAATTATTTTACACACACAAACACTCTCTCCCTCTCTTTGACCTTCCAAGCATCTTGCATACTTTCATTATTAAGTTTGAAATCCATTGCAAAATGGCCATTTAATCAGTGGGTATAAGTGTTGAAATGTCTACAGTCAGTATATTAAAATGTGTTGATTATTTGATTTTTTTTTGTATTTAGCAATCATGACTTCTTACTTCAGTCATGTTGCTTCTGATTGTTAAGCTTCTCTGCAATTTTGTTGACATTATTATGTTAAAGATTATAAATGTTTGCAGTTATTACACTGAGATTGTCAGTGTATTACAGTATCAAGTCTATGTAAAAATACATAGAAGTTATTGTCATTACTACACAGAATTTATTTAAATAAAGTATTATTGGGTAATTGTTTATCATTCCTTACTGTGTGATACTATCAGGTTGTTAGGAAGTTGTCAAAATTAACCCAGTGCTGCCGGGAATTACATGGCCATTGTAAGTTTAGTTTAATAATTGTTTTTACATATAAATGGTTACACAGATACTAAGTTGCCAAGGAGTCACTAATACTACCTATCTCACCTGTTTATCCTCCTTGATTTTTTCTTTTTTCTTTTTGTATTGATATTGGTATTGTTAATTCAGTGCTGTGGAAAAAAATGTGATGTTCATTGTAATATTGTTTTTTGAAATGTAGATGGCTCTACAAGTGTCTGGCTGCCAATGAGTCAATAAGTAGTCAGCAAGACTTCACCGGATATTCTCCTGCCTAATACTAGTAATATCATTAATATTAACGGCATTATAAAAAATCCCAAAAGATCAAGGAAAGGGGAGGTCACGTAGGTTTATTAATTGATTAAGCTAGTCCCATTTGCTGTTAGATATTTTAATATTTTTTTTGTGAAAAAAGTAAATAATAAAGTGTAAAGGAATTCTCCATAGGGAACCTAAATGGTCAAAGATAAACTTACAACAAGTTTAGGTCAGTAGGTATTATTCTTTGAAATCTTGTGTTATTCTGCATGGCTTACCAGCATCTGTGGATAAGGCATTGATTATTCAACAAAATAATATTCATAGTTATCACAGCCAAGTTTACTCTTGAGGAGTACAGTGAAAGTCAAGGGTTTGATTGAATTTCAATGTTGACAATCTCCCCCAATTTCATGCCTGTTGTCGTTAGGGGTTGGGGGGAGGGCTTAGGACTAAGGTCCAATGTTGGGGACCTCCCCTACCTTGAGCTTCAGCCTCCGCTCAACCAATAATGATTGTCCTTTTGCCATCTCCTTTCCTTTTTCTTCTCGGTGATTGTTACCGAGAGCGACGCACCTTCTAGAGACAGTCTCAAAACCAGAGTATCCTGAGAACCCAAAATCCCAACCTAACTCTCTGTGTGAGGGTGTTCTGGACATCAGTCTGTGAGCGGTGATATGAAGCGGATATGATCGTCATTTACCGGTAAATATGAGGCCGCTGCAGCTTTAACTATGCTGTTTCTTACGCTAATGTCCATTTCTCGGTTTGTGCGCGTCGCTCTCGTTAACTTATATCCCTATTTCTGTCCAGCTTCATTCCTCCCATAATTATTTTACCGGAACTGTTTCCATCTCCCAAGCTGATTACCCTGACTTCAACAGGAATTGTTCAGATTGGAAAAACGACATGCTTGCCTGCGTCGTTGACTATGATGCAGTATCAGCACAGTGCCTCACTATAATCTCAGTTCTACACCATTATTGCCAAAATTACCTTCCATAGGCATGACCTTTCCCAGTTTGTATTGGCGGCGTGACCCCTCCTCCGTCAATGTCAGAAATGGTGTTTTGGCCACCCTGCTAAGCACTGTCGCTCTACATCCCCTTATCCTGTATGTGCCCAATCTGGTACATAATCGTTATCATAATGTATTTTATTGGGGTTGCCTAACCTACAAGTTCAAGTCTGAGGTAACAGTCCCCACTCCCAGATTCAATCTTGGCCTCCATCTATGCAAGGTCGACGAGGTTTTTCTCTTGTCCTCTACAGCAGCGCAGCCCTTTGCTCTACCTCTCCCCATTAACCCTAAGATGTTTCTACATTTCCCCCCGTATCTCTTCCTCCTACTTCTTACGTTCCCACTACTACCCCTCCCTCTCCCAGTCCAATTCTTTTGGCATTCTAAGTCTAGACACTCACTTCTTGCCCGGTGCTATCTCTTTCTGCTCGCTCTATTCATCGCATCTGACAATCCAAACGTTCCACTCCATCTACGGCATCCTCTCCTCCAGCTATCAATTCTGCCTCTCAAACTTTTGTCCCCCTTTTCCCCCCTCACAAGAAACCCTTTGTTTCTCAGAGCTCCCAACCAACTCCATTTCAGAAACCTCATAAACCCTCCAATATCTCAGCTCCCATTCCCTCTACATATAAAGTGACATTCACCCACCTCCTACACCCTTTCCTCCCACTTTTTCCCAATACATCCTTTCCCCCTACTTCATTTGCATCACTTCCTTCCCCGTTATCCTTTCCACTTTTTCATAAATACATGTGTGACTTCCTTTTATCACAAGCATACCTTTCCCAGGATCCTTCCCCTCCTGACAATTCTAAAACTACTCTTTGATTTAATCACCCTTAACACCTCTAACACATTTATTTGTCTTCTGCCCATTAACCAACCAAGGTTGACAGTCAAGACTGACAAAAATAGATACCAACCAGAAATGAACCAGTATCCTGGAAATTAGACAAAAAATACAAATTATTTTAATAAAAAGAATGCGGAATTTATTGATAAAACAAACAAGTTGAGTAAAAATTCAAAAGCAGTTGTTTGTGAAATTCGAATAGTAAAATATCTGAAATATACAAGTATCCCGTAAAAATTAGGTTTCGACGCCCATTATCTTCATCAATGGCTTCCTGGCAGGGTTGGAATTCTACGGAAATTCGTCTGCTAAATGGAAACAAAAGACGACCGACGAATGGTGACGCCACTATGGAATTCTTTCCGTAGGCTGTATTTTTATATTTATAACTACTGATGGTTTGATTCAAATAAGAAGTGTTTATAACAATACTGAGATATTGTATTGAAAGTAAAGTAGCCCAGGGAATTCTGTAATCATCTGACTCTTACCCTACGCACTGTAATTGTAATCTAATGTTCATGGGTTTATAATAGTGCATGGTTCAATTTTATTATCTACATCCGTTTTCTTTACCATATAATATTTAGAAAACGGCAGAAATGCTGCTACGGAAAAGCGGCCAGCCCTGCTTCCTCTGGACGATAATCTTTTCTCTTGTAGGGTCTATTTCTACATTTATATTAGGCACATACAGTGCCGATGGCTTCATTTTAGGGGTAGCCGAGTGTAGGTCCTAAAGTGCTTTAGGCATACCTAACGCTGCATGCTGTGACGGTCGACGCTGTAACGAATACCACTGTCCTTGTGTGTTCGTTGGGCTCTATTCCATATTCGTTTGTGAGGCACATTATTAGGGTTTTAGGTTTTCATGCAAAAAGCCACTTTCAGACGAATACAATCGTAAGCGACGGTATCTTCATGCGTGTGAGCATGGGACTTGTCTTCTTGCTTTTGCTTATTGTAAAAATACCACGAATCTTTGGTGAATGGGCACAGCTGGTGTTCGGGAGAAGTCTGATGATTTTAAATCGTAAAATGTGGCTTCGTTTAAAACTGAGAAATAATATTATAAATTATATTCGACAACTCCCATTTCAAATGTAGTGCCATGACTTAAATTAATTTATCAAACAAATAAAACGGGATAAGACATTATCTTTTGATTGCATTTGTATCAAGATTACCAATAAATGCGCCTTGGCGATTGTTGTCTTCTCAATGGAGAGATCGATGTTCTTTGTGTAGGGGGTTGTGGCAGAAAGAGCCTTCTTATGCCTTTTAAAGCAAATATAAATATGGTGACAGATAGACAGATTCTTGATTGGTTGACTGATGATGATAATACAACTAATGATAATAATGTGGCCAGACGCCGAGTGATGCATAGCCTCGACCTATAGGCTGTATAGGTAGCCACCTTCCCCTGTACAAGGAATAGTTTGGGTCCTATCACTCGAGACAACCAACAGTTCAGTTCTGTGTGATTTGCGAAGGCTAGCTTCGCCTTACATATATGTGGCCCGAACTCTCAAACGCTGGATAAGTCCTCGGGAACACTGATAGTTGTTGATTGATGCAGAGATATTTAATGCAGAATACATCTGGGTCATCATCTGTCGGTTAAAAACTCCCATTTAACACGATTTGAAAACCTATGAGGTATAGGGACAGCACGCACACGATCTCGACGTGTAGAGAGGCCTAGGGCGAGGTAATAGTGAGAGACCTAGGCCCTGAGCAGACAGGAAAATTAAACTCAAGTTGCAGAGAAGACTGTGAAGTGTGTATTTTCGGCGGAAAATGCGGTATAAATACAAAATGGGTAAAGTAACAATGCTGGGTCGTTTGCGGTTGAGTGTGCTGATTGGCCGACGGCTGCTTTCTTATCTTCCGCGTCGCTGCGAATCAGCGCCGCGGACCTCGCCAAGGTCTATATAAGTACTTATATAGACCTTGGACCTCGCCACGCTTGCCTGCCGGCTGACTCGGCGTAGGGGCAATTATGCTAAGCGAGGTGCACCGGTGCTGAGTGAGGCAATTAAGCATAGCGAGACAGCGCCGGTGCCGAGGTGATTGTGGCGTCCGCCACAGACGAATATGTTTTTTAACGGCTATTTCATTTAGGTTACTTGGAATTCATTGTAGTGAGATTTACGGGGTCACTGGAAACAACAGGGGAAGTACCATCCACCGCCCCAGGAAGGTGCCATACCTTTGGCACTGTGATAATTTTTATTTATTTTCTTTTGGTAAAGCAAACTAGGGGAGTCCACATTAACTTTTGTAAGTCTGAGGTTCTGCTGGCCGACGCCCCCGACTTTGAAACTTTGTAGGATGAGCTTCTAGTGACGGGGATATTTTTCATGATCTTATCTCACACTGGTACGAAAGTGGCAGGGGATTAACGATTCCTCAAAATTTAGGAAATGTTCTTACACAACCACTGAAATTTTGAACTGAGCAATATATTCCACTGGAAATCTGAAATCCGTATTGTAT